CAATTGACCTCCCCATATCGAGCTGCTCCGAGTTGCTCTCCGTGACCCCCCCCCCCCCCCTCCCGGAGGTGGTGTTTGACCTGCCCGACGAGATGGCGGACGCCGTCGTCGCCGCCTTCGACGCCCTCGCCGCCACAGACGGCGGCGAGGACGGGGCGGCGCGCCCTTCCGGCCGCCGCCCCACCCTCCTTGACTCGGGCGTCCTCTCCATCTCCGCGTGCGCAGAGCTCCCCGAGCTGCGCCCGCTCGGCGGCCGCGGCGGCGGCGGGCGCGGCGGCGGCCGCGGCGGCCGATTCGGAGGGCGCGGCCGCGGAGGTGGGTACCCAGGAGGCAGCAGCCGCTCGGGGTACCGCGGCGGCGGAGGCCGCTCGTATGACGACCGCGGCGGATACCGCGGCGGCGGAGGAGGAGGAGGGTACCGCGGAGGCGGCGGCGGCGGCGGCGGCGGCTACCGTGGCGGCGGTGCGCTCCTCCGCTCTCTCGGCCCTCGGCCCGCTTCCCCCTCCCCCGGCTGTCGCCCCCTCTGACGGCCTGCTGCCGTCGCGCACAGGCGGGTACCGCGGCGGCGGGGGCGGCGGCTACCGCGGCGGGGGCGGTGGTGGAGGAGGAGGGGGGTGGCGCGCCCGCGGCGCGGACTGAGGATGAGCCGCCGCCGTTGTTCTCCCGTGTGCCGCATGGTGTGCCTGTCTGGTTTCTGCGCATGCCCCTCCCCCGATCCCCTCTCAACCCGCTGTGCCCCGGTGCCGTACCCGGGCCGCTCCAAGCGTCGTGCTCGACCCCCTACGTGGCTCAGCCCTTGCGCCCGCGGTCCGATGTGTGCGAGGAAGACCATCTCTTGTGACTGCGACATGCCGGGGTCGGGTGTGGGTAACCTGGCTATGGGCGCCGGCGCCGGCACGCCGCACGCGCTGGGCGGTCGAGGGGATTTGACCACGCGTTGAGTTTTCTTGTTTTGCACTTTCTCGCGCAGAAACGCGATCCCACTTCCGTCTTGCGCCGGGTCTTCCCACGCAGCGCACCCCCACACGCCACAGGGACCAGGCGCTGTGGCGCTCTCGATACGGTCGCGTCAACCTCGACGTCGCCCCCATTTAAAGAAAGGAGCACCGGGAGCACTTGGAGTGCAGTCATTAGCCTCACATCCAGGGCCGGGGAGCTGAGAAGCAGGTCATGCAAAACAACGGGCCCTGAGTGTGACCGAAACGCGTACACCGGCACATTGTCGGCCGATGCGCGGCTCGCCGCCCACCCCACGCGGTCCCTAGGTGTTATATAGCATAAACACCGTCCGTGCAGGGCTCCTAGGCCATCACTGGGTCCACAGTGGACGGACACACAGCCTCAGCCGGCCCGGCGGGCTCCCGACCAGAGCCCGTCCGGAGGCCACAAACGGACACTCTACCGACCTTTACACCCCTAGACAATCCACTCCGACTAGCACACGGTGTCGTCCCGACCGCCCTGTGGCCCCAGCTACCAGCTGGCGCCGCTCGGCCCGGCTGGAGGCGACTGGGGCGCCCAAAATCGCGGAACCGGCGACGTCCTCCGGCCAGCAGCCGGATCGGGCGTCCGACCCGCCCCCTCGGCGACCCGAGATGGTCTCCCCCTCCCACCCAGGC